TGCAAATCAGTAAACCGCAGAGAGCACGCATTTGGTGAATATTTATTGCGAGCAGCTGAGTAATAAGCGAATCAAGTGAAAGTCCCAAAAAAAAAAAAAAAAAAAAAAAACAAAACCGGTTGCGTAGCGGAGTCCAAGCTCTTGGCTCACTTATGCCACAATTACGTATTTGCTGTGATTACTTTTGTTTATATGTGGGTGTATGAGTGTGTGAGTGAGTGTGAGTGAGTGTTCTATTTCGCGTGCTACAAATGCCACAATTTGCAAAACTATTTGCTTAATAAGTTAAATGGATAATTGAGTTAAGAGGCGTCGTCATCTAAACTGCCAAGAAGCATTTTCGATAAGGCGAGACAATTGCTTAAAGAGCCTCACAATTTGTAAGTGTGTGTGTGTGTGTGTGTGCTTTTCGTAAATTCTATGCATATTGTATATCCGGATTAAGATGCTTGCCGAATCAATGCTCTGCCCTGTGGTTCGACTAGAGTTCTATGTCAAAGCCAATTGCGGCCGGCACGCAACGCTGCCCGGAGACAATAAATTGCTGTAGATTTGTTTAATAATAGCAGGGCGCGAACAAAGAAAAACAAAATGGAATGAAACAAATTGCAAAAAATTATGACACGCTTCGCATTGTGTGCAATTTTTCTATTGAACTTGCTCGAGAGTTGCAGCGAGGGGAGGTCTTGAAATTTAATTTAATTTTAATGAAACGGCAGCACGCACAACGTACAGTGGCTGGCGCTTATTTTTATACCCTGAACCCATTGAAAATGGGAAATCAGTGTATAATGGTTTTGTGAAAAAGTATGTAACGGGCAGAAGGAGTCATCGCAGACCCCATAAAGTATATATATTCTTGATCAGCACGACGAGCTGAGTCGATATAGCCCTGTCCGTCTGTCCGTCCGTCCGTCCGTCCGTATGAGTGCGTCGATCTCAGAGCTTATAAGAGCTAGAGAGCTGAAATTTGGCATGCATACTCATGTATACCATACGCAGTACGAGTTTGCTTTATTTTTTTGATAACTCATCCGATAACTTTTTGATCGAGAATAATCGAAAATTTGATTTCGTTTTTTCAGTCTAATTTGAACACAGGTCTAAACCTGGAGTCTTCAAATTTGCGTTGTATATAAAGTTAATGGATACAAAGATTTTGTAATTTACAGATTTTGGATACCACGCCCCCTTCGCCACCAATTTGTAAAAAACGCATTTCAAGTACTAGAGACTTGTGCTCTGGAATGTACACTTATTACATTTACTATATGATTACGCTCTGAAAGTTTCATTACGATCGTTTGTCTACAAAAGAAATTATTCAACAAATAAATTTTCATAATATTTCTCACACTGCAGCGCAGCCCAAGCGCAGTCGCTGCTTACTACGCAGTTAGCAGAGCGCGTTGTTACACGCGCGTCTGGAAGAAGTGCAGAATGATTAGAATATCAGCTTAGAGGGTTTAGGGTATCTCCTAGTCGAGCAGTCTCGACTGGAGCCTTCTTACTTGTTTCTTTTTCTTTTTTTTTGGTATTTGTATTTGAATTGCTTTTTTGTGTTTATCCAATTTATTTGCAGGCCCTTAATGCCCGAGTAGATTGATCATACGCCCCGTAAGCACACACACACACAATCACGCAAAATGACCGACCTGGAGTCAATGAAAGCCGACAAGCACAATGGCCATCATTCGTATCACAACAAGTAAGTGTCTACCGACTACTACCTCAACTTTGGGCAAAGCCTGGCCTAACTAGATGTAATAACAAACACTCATACGCAAATTGTTTCCGCATTATGGCAAAGCTATGCTCGAACAAGTGTTCTTGCTGCTCAAAAGCACAACAAAGTGCGGCCAAGTAGGATATGTAAATAGCGTGTGTACCCACGCCCATGTGCGCAAAATGCTGAAATACTGTCAAATGACCCAAGCCAAACCAGTTGCTAATGCCGCGCATAGCTGAGAAACTGGTTCCAGCCTATTGGCAACTGCAGACGTTGAGAAATGTTGTATACGAAATAAAGAAGAAACAAAGAAAAAGAAATGAAAAAAAAAAAAAGCTGCAAAAACCAACAGCAGTTTGTCGATGGCCAGCGAAAGTGACTGTGGCTTGGTTGGACTGACAGCAGATACAATGATTTGCATTTCAATCGAACTAAGCAACTCCTCTGTTCTATCCATGCCTGCAGCCATGACCTGGTGGAGAGCGAGCCACTCACCTGGAGATTCTGGCGCAAGCGGCGCTACATTGTGGTGCTGATGGCCTTCTTTGGCTTCTTCAATGTCTACTCGCTGCGCGTGAATCTGTCCGTGGCCATTGTGGCCATGACGGAGAATCGCACTGTCCACGATGCTGATGGCAATATATCGTACGAGCAGGACTTTCCCTGGGACTCCAAGCAGAGGGGCTTGATATTGAGCTCATTCTTCTATGGCTACATCTTCACACAGTTCCTGGGCGGCTACATAGGCACCAAAGTGGGCGGCAATCTTGTGAGTTTACATGCTGAAATTGTTAAAGAACTGTTCAAGTTATTTATATCTCTTATATATGAAATGAATGCAAATCCTTGACTAACAATTCATTTTGGTAAAATCTCATTTTAAAGGTCTTCGGCTTGGGCATTGGCACAACGGCCATCCTCACTCTGCTCACCCCGCTAGCGGCCCGACACAGTCTCGAAATGTTTTTGGCCGTGCGTATTATCGAGGGCGTGTTCGAGGGCGTCACATTTCCGGGCATACACGCCGTATGGGCGAGGTGGTCGCCGCCGTTGGAGCGCTCTCGCATGGCGTCAATTGCATTTGCGGGCAATTACGCCGGAACGGTAATTGCGATGCCATCGTCTGGTATGCTGGCCTCCCGTTACGGCTGGCCTAGTGTTTTCTATGTGTTCGGAACTATTGGTGTCATCTGGTTGATTCTGTGGCTCCTGATTGTCCGCGCGGGACCCGAGATGGATCGCTTCTGCTCGAAGGAGGAGTGCGAGTACATACAGAAAACGATTGGATACACGGGCCCCCAGACCATCAAGCACCCGTGGAAGGCAATCTTCACATCCATGGCTTTCTATGCAATCATTGCCTCGCACTTCTCCGAGAACTGGGGCTTCTACACGCTGCTCACCCAGCTGCCCAGCTTCCTTAAGGGTAAGCCGCTTGATAAGAGTTAGCCTAATCATGGTATATTATGAGATCTTCTCTGCAGATACGCTTAACTTTGATTTGGGCAAAACGGGCTTCCTTTCGGCTGTACCCTACCTGGCCATGGGCATATTGCTGGCCGTCTCTGGCTATCTGGCCGATTGGATGCAGGTGAAGGGCATCTGGACAACGACGCAAGTGCGCCGTAACTTCAACTGTGGTGCTTTCCTGGCTCAGACGGTCTTCATGATGCTTACGGCTTACATTATGGATCCCACTTGGTCGGTGATATTCATTACAATTGCTGTCGGCCTGGGCGCCTTTGCCTGGTCTGGATTCGCGTAAGTTGCAACGTCAGTGCAGCCCCCAGCGGTGCGTCGACTTAATTCTCGCAACACTTGCAGTGTCAATCACTTGGATATCGCGCCGCAGCACGCCAGTGTGCTGATGGGCATCGGCAACACATTCGCCACGATTCCCGGCATCGTCAGTCCACTGCTGACCGGGTACATTGTGGGCGATAGCGGAGACCGTTATGAATGGCGCCTGGTGTTCTTTATCTCGGCTGGCATTTATCTTGTTGGCTGCGTCATCTACTGGTTCTACGCGTCCGGCGAGCTGCAGGAGTGGGCCAAGTCACCGGAGCAGAAGGCTGCCGAGGCCGAAGAGAAGCAACTGCAGCTGACACAAACAACTGGTTTCATTAACAATGCGGCCGACCTAAAGGAGTAACGCACCCACCCGAGCTCAGCCCAGCCCAGCCCAGCCCAGCCCAGCCAGCACAATCGATGTGTTCAACTCGTAGCGCAGCTGCAGCCAATAGCAAAGACACATTTTAGCTTAGTTTATACTCGTATTCATTCACAGTACCATATTGTATGCCTTAGAATTTCTTCTTTGTTATGTGATGCCAGCCAGCAATGGGATGTTGTTCATGTTGGCCCATTGACTATTTTTAGATCTGTTTGTGCACTCGTAGCGAGTGCATTTGCGAATAAACAAAGTACATATATATTACTCAAAACAGGCGCGTAATTTGTATGTCGAAGCATGACAGCGCGTTAGTAATAGAACTAGTATTCCAATTGTTATATTGTTATTTTTTTATTTGAACAATAAATGACGTATATATGCTACCCAATGCTTCACCATAATCCTTTAAATGTTTTTATACAAATACAATTTAGCTCCTGCCGAAAAGTATGCAATGCTTTTTGTCACATAAGTATATTGGCATTAAGCTTTTTAAGTGCATGCCGCAAAGTATGCTACATTTTAAAGCAATGCTGAAATGCTTCAGCCGAAATTAGTTTAGCCGGATTTGCAAGCCTTTACCACTTTAAAATCGATTTGGATTGTTATTCCGTCTTTTGGGCAGCTTGAAAAAGTGCAAGGAAATCGAAAGGATGCCATTAAATTGATTGAAGTTTTATTTGTTTGGCGAATTGAAGCGGATTTGCTAGATATCTCATTCGGACTCTTTAACGCCAGCCAGCCCTGCAGGATAAAGTTTACGGACTATGCACATGCACACATCAATATTTAATCACGTTTTATCCCTGCAGTCGTATTTGGCGCACTCGGCCGTTGTTCGCTGCGTACGTATATGCAGCGCATACCGATAAACTGATAAGAGCGCCGTGTGCAGCACGGCCCAAAGCGTTGGCCGAGCCAATCGTGTGGCGCAAAATTTGTTTGTGTAATGCCAACAACTGATAGGCGCGAAACGTTACGCATTTTGCGCACGAACTGCTGATAACACCGGCCCCTGCCCCGCTCTACCAATGTGTTGTTCGATTTTGCACCCGTCATTGAGCTTAAAATTACAATATATAAACGACGGGAGTTTAGTGAAGCCAACAACAGTTAACTACAGCAAGTCAAAAGCTTTGCACCAACTAAACATTTTTCACAACCAACAGAAATTTACTGAAATCACCAATACAATGGGTTGCAAGAATTGTGTATCTGGTAAGTAATATACAAAGATATTACACCAAAAACTAAATCATAACTAACCAACTAAATTTGACCATTTTAGCTTGCCAGTGCTCGACCGTCAAGTGCGGGGGCAGCTGCGCCTGCATTAAGGATTGCAGCTGCGTGTGCAAGTCTGGACCCAAGGAGCAGTGCTGCAGCAGCAAATAATCAAGATTATACTGAATTCTGCATAGAGTTTTCAAATGCCATTTGGCATAAACATTTGCGTGTGATTCAATAAAAATGATAAGAGCATGAATTTTGGATTTTGTTTCTCTAATACGGCCGGCTTTAATATTTAATTGGGTCATGAAAATGCAGCTTAGCAAAAACTGTATTTGAATTATAATTTGTTTTTCATTTTTGAGCGCAAGTCAATATAATAGTGTTTCTGACTATTAGTCGGCTGCAAATGCAAAACTTGCAGTTGAAAAATAACAGTTGACAAATAAAAAACATATAAATAAATAATATAAAATAAGCTGCAACATTTTTTCTCCATTTAGATTGAGAGAAAATTGCAAAGCTCGGCATAAACGAGGCTTTGCTCTGTAGCTATATAATAAAGTGACACATTTTATGCGAAGCTTGACATTTTTGGGGTAATTCATTGAGGACAATAAAGCATTTCCAGAAAGTCCATTTAACTGCTGTCGTATATATGCAAATAAATTTCTAAATGTATATATTGTATGATTACTCATCAAATTTGATGTTTTATATTTTCTTAACTACTTTTAATAAGCATTCGCACATTTATTTCCCTGTCGCATTTGTCAGAGTCAAATGAGAAATGACGAGGGAGCACTTGAAGAGACTGTGGCAGCTGAAGGACATGTCAGACATTCGCATCCGCTTCAACTCGCTCTATGCGCTGTCAAAATATTTATGAACTGACCAGCGGCAACAGCAACAATGGTATGCAGCAACAACATCAACAACCCAGAAACAACAACAATAACCATCATTAGCATAATCAAAATGTGCGTGCTTTGTGTTTGGCACTTGGGCCGGTTGCGTGTCGAGAGCATTTTGCTCGACATTTTGTTTCTGAGCTACTCCTCAGGGGAGGGGGGAGAGGATCTGATATTGGATCTGGCGTTGTTTGGTAAATCAGGTGTAAATGATTTGGCATTCAGGTGCTGAGCACAGCTGAGCACAGGCTAATCGAATTATTGCGTGCCTGGAGTTCTCATTCAAAATCCAGAGCTACGATATTAAATTTAGTACAAGCTGAGCAGCAAATGATTGTTAATAAACTGAAAATATGGCTGTTTTAACGATGCTTTCGCTAAATACAATTGAGGAAGGAGATATCAGCAATGAGAGATCAGAGCCCTCGCATACAAGTAAGTCTCAAGTAAGTCCCAATCCATTGGCACGCCTCGGCTGATGGGCTTTCTCCCTAGAAGATCGTGCTAATGGAATCTCGATGCGTTCCGTTATCAAGGGTGCCATAGTCATATTTACGTTTAATGCGTGTCTACTGTGCCTGGGCTATCTCATTTATCAATATGTAAGCGCCTTGGATGACAAAAAGAGGACGAAGGTGGGCAATTGGATGTGCAGTCTGGTTGGTGTTGTCCTTATGATCGTAATGTATCGAATGGGGGTAAAATATGATGATGTGATATATTTTCAAATTTTGTGATTTACAATGAACTTTTACCGACAGGACATGTCTAAGGGCAATCCCCATTTTTACTACATTTAGTTCATACCTTTGCGATATCGTTTTCAAGTACAAAATTGATCCATTTAAATTCTTTTTCAACTAAAGCTCGCAGGCTGTACAAATTAATTAAGTCAAACAAATGAGAGAAATCATCTAAGTTATCATCTAAATTAGTATAAGTTGTAAGCCAGTACGATTATTTAATAAATTTTTTTATTTGGTATACCATTTATAAATATATATGTATGTACATTTTAATATTTAGCTCGATTTTATTTTTGATTCGTGTCTAATTTGACTCTGAGTATATTTGCTTTTACTGGAAATGGTTAAAATTATTATATTATTTAAATTTATCAAGATAGGATTTTTTTAAGAAGATATATCTTGTATAATATTAATTAATTAGCATGTAAACTCAATATTAATTTTATTAAAAACTTGTGAATTCTAAGAAAGTATTCTCATATGACAGAACCTAGTAAGCTTACCCTCTTATATTACCTTACCTAGTTAGTTATATTAGTTAAGCTATGCGATATTTGTCAGCACACTCTATAAGTACATATTGATATGTATACGTGAATTCTCTGTACTGTATATCATCCCTTTGTATATCTTAGTCAAAGGCAATTCAACTTGTTAGACATGGCTAGGTCAACTAGTTGGAGTCACGCAAATGAGTCTCTGGACGCATTGACAAAACAATGGGGTAATTTTTCATTGCGTCGATGACGTCAGCTGGCCTTGCGATTTGCGTCATTTGTGTATTGCAATATAAATTATTTTCCGTTTCGCCCAATTACTGTGGCTACAAATATTTTTTATTTATTTCATTATTAATATTTGTTGCGACAAATGTGTATGATGTAAGAATTACATTTTATTAGGCCAAAATCCGTACTAAGTACGCTAAATTCATTATGTCATATAACGAGAAACGCATTTCCCGTTGGTATTTCGGGGGTCTGGCCAGTACGTTAGGAACGATAGTCACACATCCGTTAGACGTGGTAAAGGTGCAAATGCAGACGCAGAAGAGAGTGAAGAAACAGAAACTATCGACAGTCGGTTTCATGCACATGTTAGTCAAACAGCACGGCATATATTCGCTTTTCAAGGGCATATCTGCTTCGCTGATGCGTCAGTACACCTATACAATGGCACGCTTTGGCATATATGCCGCAGGCGCCAGAGTGGTTGACACCCACTCGATGACGAGCAAAGTGCTGCTGTCCGCTTTCAGTGGGGCCGCAGGTGGACTCATTGGTGCGCCGGCAGACTTGCTGAACGTGCGCTTGCAGAACGATGTCAAGCTGCCGCTAGAGAACAGAAGAAAGTAAGCGTGTTGACTGAGTCGTAACATGGCTAATTTTCATTGTAATTTTCAGCTACAAGAACGTTTTTGACGGTCTGGTGCGCGTGTGCCGGGAGGAGGGCTGCTTCAGTCTGCTTAATGGCGCATCCTTTGCTGCGCTGCGAGGCGCTTTTATGACCGTTGGACAGATTGCCTTCTATGAACAGACTAAGGACATTCTACTAACCGCAGGCTTTCCAGCCCGCGCCGATACTTATGTCTTCTCGTCGATCATATCGGCCATTGCAGCGACACTTCTTACCCAGCCAATTGACGTGGCCAAAACGCGTTCGATGAATGCGGCTCCTGGCAAGTATAGAAGCCTCACAGATGTATTTTACAAAACAGCCTTAGAGGGGCCCATGGCATTCTACAAGGGCTCGATACCAGCCCTTCTACGCCTAGTGCCGCACACAGTATTGCTTTTCGTAAGTCTCGAGTTTTTACGCTCATACTTTGGATATTTACCGAATGAAAAGTCGGTTTGAACCTAATCTGACTTAGTATGGCATTTATACCTTTAACTAAACTTGTATATTCATAAAATAAAAATTTGTTTTTATTTTTTTTCACTCTTTGGATAGTTGGGAACAGTTTCATCTCTATATCCATGTTCATTCCATTCATTAATATGCATGTAAATATATATGTGAGATTTTGTTGAAACGTTTCAAGTTTTTGTTCTCATATCGTTGGGCAGACAGACTAAAAAAATAATCAGCGATTTTGTTGCATCTAACTCTTTTGAGTTTATCAGGTTTATTTTATGAGTTTTTCCAACTGTCTATTGCGACAAGTGTTGAATGGTCTATGGGCAGGAAATAATTGCTTCATTGCATAAAAAAATAAACAAATTTCACACAATTTTTAATGAGTTAAATGAAAACAATTAAAATATTATACGTAAAAAAGGTTGATAAATTATAAATATTGTCAGCCGTCGTTAATTGAATTGAAATTAATTAATATGTGCACGCGTCGCGCTGTAAATTATTACAAATAACAGCCATTAGGATGCGCAGAAAAAGCGTATGCAAATTTGTCATGTGCCACTGCAGTCAATATCTATATATATATATATATATATATATTTATGGATTATTCGTGGCATTATGGGCCATCGTTTCTATAAGCAGCCATTAATATGCGATGTTTGCGGCATAAATCGAAGGATTTCGGGCTGCTTGACTTAATTGTTCGCATCCCCGCTGCAGGGGCGTTGACAATGATAAAGGACACAAGACAAGGGATAAAGGACAATGGCTTGTCCGCATAATTATTTACGCAACGGTCAAGGACAAATAAATGCGCACGCACTCACACACACACACACAAGCACATACACACTCACGGCGACCACGTTGCCAGTGAAAATGAGTTAAATATTTATGGCAAAATTGAGCCTTCAGCTCGACAAACATGGCTGAAGGAGCTGGAAGTGGGTGCAATTGCTGGCGATTTAAATGCAGCCCAATAAATTGAAGCACATTTTTAACTGGCGCTTTTATGTCGAGGCGCTCGTTTTGCCATCCAACATTATACGCTTTATGCACGGAAGCCCATTTATATTGGCCAGGAAGCGAGACAATAAAGTGGCCGACAGAAGACCCTGGTTGCAGATCCCAGCTCCCAGCTCCCATTTGCCAGTTCCCAGTGCCCGGTTCTCGGTTCCCAGTCCACAATTCGCAGTACGCCGTTCGCCCGTTCGCAGTTCACAGTTCACAGTTCGCACAACGTTTAAATACCTTCGTGTCCGGCGCCATTTCCCTTGCCGGGCTGAGCATGGGCAATGCAATAAACTTCTAAATCAGTCGATTAAGCTGCGAGTTGAGAGTTGCGAACAATGCGAATACTCCTAAAAGCATGCTTCGTGTACACACACACACGCACGCACGCACACACCCACACAGACGAAACAAGAGTTGTGAAAAATGTTGAGCAATTAAAATAAGTAGCGAGCACATCACTTGGGGGCCACAGGCAAATGGAAAAGAGCAGAAGTCCTGGCTTCGTGTGGATTTTGCTGTCAGCAAAGTGCAGCGAGCGCTTCTCTAATGAAAATAAAGACGAGCAAGATTGCAAACAGCGCTCTTGGCGGGTGTGCGCGACTAAGAGACACAAGAGGTAAGAGATAAGAGCCTGAAGAGTCCATCTACAAATAAATACATATACATATAGTCAAAACGGAAAAGCATTAAAATGAAACTGCGCCAGAATTAAATATCTATGGTTTGTATTGCTAGTGAATTCTTTGTAAGACTATGATGTAGACTAGGATATACCCTGTAGAGCATACCCTGTCTAGAACATACCCTAAGCTCAGAAGCTGATCTTTTAAATTGTCAATGTAAACTGTTGATAAAAAATCTCATTACGTCTAATTATGGAGCTTCTTAGTTGACAATATATTTCACGCACTCTATAGTTTTAATCATAAATGGAAATATAGATAGAATAATAGATATTGATCGATTTACAACTTGTAAATAGGAAAGATGTTTTTTATTTTAGTTTTCTAAATATTTAAATTGGGAACAAACTGAATAAATCAACTTTTTATTACAACCAAAATACTGAAAAGAAAATATGTAAAAATTGTAAATTAATTGTATGTAACGAAATGGGCAGGACATCAGTTTATTTTTCTCGATTTACATAGAAATTCAAACTATCGAGAATTAACGAGAATTTGTTTTAAGGGGATAGATTTCGAGATAGATTGATAGATAGAGGGATAGATATCGATTTAGCGAGATATCGAGACTCGACTGTAGTATGATAGCATGATAATTTTATCTAATATTGGCGCTCAGAGCACATCAATTTAATTACCAGAACTTTCGCAGCTATGCGCTAGGTGATGCGATATATCACCATCGCGGATATCGATCTATTGCAAAAGCAAACGTCAGTCCATGATTATAGCAGAGCTATTGCGTACTTTAGCAACTCAGCCTGAATCGCTTTAGTAGTTTCGGCTCATTTCACCGATTGAAAAGCTTTTCTATTGGTATTCAGCTTGGCATTGATTTAGTGTAAACACTTTTCAATGGCTCAGCTTCTCTCTCGGCTGCTGTTGGCAATATATTCAGGGCAATTGCACCCACATTTAAATGCCGAACACACCGATACGCGAGCGCACACCCACATGTGCGGGCGAGCATAACAGTTTATCTTTATAATTAGATCTTGGCAACTGTATCTCTCAGCCGACATGCCGTTGATGGGAAAGCGCCGCTAAGTGGCTCGAAAGTAGTTTACAATGCCAAGCTTCAGTCATCGCTGGCGGCACCTCAGCTCGCCAAATGGCAACACGTACTGCATAAGCAAAAGCCAAAGCTGAACTAGAACCAATCCTGCATCCGAAATCTAAAACCAAAGCCCAGCCGCGACTAGTTGACTGCCTGACTGGCTGAGTGCCTAACTGCCCGCCCGCCCGCCTGCCTGCCTGCCCGACTCCGGATTGTCAGACAAGCGAAACTTGGCTCATTAAAGATTAAGGCACATTAGCGCCAATGGTGTGAGATGGAGATAGAGTTGGGGGAGGGGAGATGAGGGTCGGACTGTGGCAGATTTCAGCACCATCAGCATAAATATTTATGTAAATTGGGATTAAAAGTATTTTGTATGTATTTTACAGTGAAAACTTTAGCAATGAACCGTTAGTGACTGTCCGTACATCTATTTCAGGAGTTGCGTACATTTTAAATTGCCATTTAATTACTTGAAATCTGAAATGGCAATTGCTTTAAGCCAGCTGTGGCTGCCCTTGTCCCCGGCCCGAGTCGCAGCTGCCGTGAAGCGTGAATTTAGCTGCATATTTTAACCCAAAAAGGTTTGCATTGCTATCTCAGCTGCAGCTGCGACTCCTGCTGCTGATGCTGCCGCTGCTTTGTTTCGACGTGATATTTTGCATTTTGCTGCACTCAAGGCTGCCTGAGAGAAAATATGGCCGAAATAAATGGATGCCACTGTTGGAGGCGGCAGTAATTTATGTTGCCCCGCACAAAGCGAAGCCATAAACTTATGAAAGCCCGCCAAATAGATTTCGCGTTAAGGTATGCCGAAAATGCGAATGCGGCCAAGGTTATTAAACACAAGCTGAAGGATATTGTAAAGGATATTGCATAAGGGGGCTAGCTCTCCCTCTCTCCCTCTCTTCCGCTCGGAGCTGTGAGCTCTGAGCTAATACTGCCAAAATTGGCAACAATTTATGCGAGTTTTCAATACAATTATCAGAGAACTCATTAATATGCATTGAAATTTGAAATCTGGTTGCTATTGTTGCTGGCCAAACTTTGGATGGTGCTTTGATGCTTCGGAAATGTTTATTGGCCGCATTGTTGCTTAATGAAATTAGTCGCATTTATGCGCAATTTCCGGCCCATGCTCCCACACACGCACACATCAACCCACACACACATAAAGTCTAGATGCTGGATGCTGCTTGCTGTTCAAATTTCATTACTTTGTGTAAACAAAGACACGTGCCCATTGTCACAGCAACTGCTGCTTGCTGCTGCTGTTGCTGCTCCGTCTCCGTCTCCTGCTCTCTGTTCCCTGTTCTTAGTGCAGCCGCAAGACTTGCGGCATTGACGCATGCGCGGATAACAGTTAAAGAGCGTGTTAACAGTCCGTTATGCTTTAGCTGTTTTCAAACTATGAAATATGGCAGTAAATCATTTTCATGCTCGTGTGTTTCATTCAATTATCAAAAATAATTTAAAATAATTTCACAGCGCACAGCACAGACACACAAAACATTTGTGGCGGCTATACAGTATATACTTGCTTGTAAGCATTTCGATGGCTCGGTTGCTGGTCACGTCGTAATCAGCAAAAGGTTCGCCTAGTTGCGGTTATAAAGCCGTGTACGTGATTCGCATCTCGGATGCGAAAACGTTCGCATAAATACAAATTTCTAATTTATGTAGTTTACGTTTTGGATTTATGGGCATTTGTATATGATTTTGGCTCCCACTGTACATGCTTATAAAAACTACACACACACACACACACACACAAATATATATATGCTTTATATATGCATTTATGTGTATATCGATGGCTCTATTAAGCCTTTCAGTTTGAGTGGCGACGCGTGTGTGTGCGCTGCTTATGGATTCAAGAGAGCAACGCTGCGTATGAGTAATGCGCTTTTAATGCGTGCGCTAATTTAGCACCTCAAAAGTGGTCTTCATTTGAGTGCAGCGTGCACAGAGCCGTGCCAAAACCGCTCACTGGCCTGTCGACTTGATGGGCACTTAGTCGCTCAGCTGGGAGTGCATTCGCCATTCGAATTATTCATTTGTGAGCCATTTATGGGTCGGTCGCCTTTCTGTGTGCTGTGTGCGTACGGCTTTTAATTAATCTATTAAGCACATTAGGTTTATTGGGCTCCTCGGACCTTGACACTTTCGCATACGCGACACACGCCGAGCACGCTGATTATGCGATTTTTGTGTGAACGACCAGTGGGCGTGGAGGCCCGTCACAGGCCAATCTCATAATCAGCATAATTTTCATGTTCCTCCAAGCAAAGGCAACGCACCCACACTCCTC